CGTCTGTTTCTCGTTACTGCTATATAAAACTTTAATGTTGTTGTTGTGTGCCTTCAAGTCATCCACAACTTATGGCAACAAATTTATTCAGAAGCATGTTTATTGAATTTAATTAGGATATATTCTTGTTTTGTGACTTCAAGGTATTTCTGACTTATGTTGACCACAAGGTGAACCTATCCCAAAGTTTTATTGGCAAGATGTGTTCAAAGTTCTGTCATTGCCTTTCTTTGAGGTGAAAGAATATGATTTGCCCAAGGTGGGTTTCCATGGTCGAGTGGTAATTCAGACCTTGGTCTCCAGAGTCATAGTCTAATGTTCAAACAACTGCACCATGCTGGCTTCTGTGCAACATCAATAGTCACAGGCAGTATGCAGTATGGTTCATTTGTGTGAGTGGCAACAAGGGAATTATATTGTTTCTTGGCCTGTTTGTGGGCTTCCTGTGGGGAGGAAATGCTGGGATAGATCAAACTTATGTCTTGCTGTAACAGAGTTCTTTTTGAGTTTATGCAAATTGTGCCAAAGACACACACACATAAAAAAAAACCTCAGACATTAGTGCACTTATGGGTTTTAGCAAAAATTACTTTGGATAGCCATAATTATAACTAACAAGATATTTGTCACCAAATGGCTTGTGAACATTTATTCAGCTTACATCCAATATTTTGTACTATCAAAACAATTTGATTTGAATCAGAGCCATCTACATCCTCTTCTCTTTATAATTATAGAAGCCATTCTTCTGGCCACTTCTGCTGATGCCCAACAAATACCTCATTTGTTGCAATGAACAGAAATTACTGGGCAATCAATATTGAACAGAGAGATTCCTTTTGATTACACAAGCAACATAAGCTCATTTTCTGTTTTTAAAATTTCTCAGTTTGACATTTCTCTTCCTTTATTCCTTGTTTACAGTGTAAATGTTTTGTTCCACTCAGAACTTCTTTGTTTGTTTCGCAAACAATTGTTGAGGCCATGATTGGTTTGCAGGTTAATGTCTCAGTTTTTGTTTTCTCTGCTTCAGTGCTGTTCTTTGTATTTTAGAATGCCTAGCACCAGAATTAGTAGTGAATAGAAGTGTCATAAAACATAAATGGGTAATTAGCATGATGAGCAGTGCAGTTTTTAGTTTATCTTATTAAAACCAAACAACCAATAAACCAATAAAATTAGTACACAGCGCCATGCCTGTATTCCATGACAGCTTTTTCTGTCTGCGGTGCTATATGGCATGGTTCCAAATCTCTGTTGTGCTGACATTTGCTCCTGGGAGGAGGAGCAGGGAAAGGGTCCATAAGGTTTCTACTGGCCTAGACAACATAAACATCTGTTAGATTCATGAGCAGCTTGCAAAACTAATTCATCAGGGAGACTCGGTCGATCAGCATTTCCATATTGGTAGATATTTTGCAAGCCAGGGTGCACACCAGCAAGACCAATTACTATGTGTGTTATTTGGGAATTTAAATCATGTTGAAGTGTTTTGCTACATAGAAATGGATTGAAATGATGCTAAATATCTGCAGTGGAACACATACATACCTACAAGTACATACAATCTAAAAGATCATCTTGGTGGTTTTAAGTAAGTACAATTTAGAGGCAATTAAAATACATACAGATGGTGGAAAGTCAGCTAATAGAAATGGAAGACAGGTCAGATGAAATCCCTTGCGATGGAGACCCAGAAACCTCAGTAATTTTTCAAACCCTTTAATTTAGTCATCAGAAGTAAAGGCAGAACATGCTAATTACTCATTGGTCTTTTTTTTTAACAGCCTACCTTTAAAACATTTTTTCTCTTCCTGTGCTTTGTAAATACTGGATAAAATAATTGAAATACCCTGGTCTTTAAAATAATCATTCCAGTATTTGGCTTCTCAGTGCAGTGTAATTTTTTTGTAATGAAACACTGTAAATATCAACACATTTCAGTTGAGTCCCTTCGGGGAGAGAGGGCGGTCTAGAAATAAATTATTATTATTATTATTATTATTATTATTATTATTATTATGATGATGAAAGTTGAGTTTACTGGAAGTAAATAGTTAATATATGTGTTAACCGTTACTTTTTATAGTAATTCATATTGGGACTGGATGTGTAGACTGCAATGCATAAACAGAACAGTATTCCCGTAAACGAGGCATTGTGTGACTTAGGCCATTAGCATTAACAAAAGTAAACATCAACATGAAAGATACAATAATTAATCAGTAAAAATGAATAAATTATCAAAATTAGGGATTACATCTTAATATCCACTATGTACCTTTGAGCACCATAATTATTCAGAATGTTTAAAAATCTAATTTTAAATATAGTTACCACCCCCCCCCCAATTTGTCTTCGAATATTTAATCAAAAATAAAAGACAATATCTTGACATTTGTTTTTCTATGAGGAGATAATAAGGTAGAATAAACATGTATGGCACAGCATATATGTTAGAACCTTGTTTATATCATATCTCTATATCTATGAATATAACGTGAATTTATTCCAACCCACAAAACTTGAAGCATTTATTATACTGTATTAAGGGGATAGATTAAAAAATATATGAAGCAAGTCTTTTCTTGTTTGACAAGTTGTATAGTTCCTTTACATTTAACAAAAAAGGACCTTTCAAAAATATTTTGAGCTCCGGATCAGGAAAAAGGTGGTGGTGACAACAATGATGGTGGTGGTGGCAGGGCCGTAGCCAGAAAAAAAAATGGGGGGGGGTTTTGAAAATTTCAGGGTGGGGGGTTGAAAATTGGGGGCGGGGTTGAAACCTGCCTGAAGCTGAAGCAAAGAGCACACGAGGGGGCAGAGCAGCCTTCAATAGCTTGCAGCTTTGCCCCTGTCAACCACCTCCATCAAGTCTGGCCTCCTTAATGAGAGCATTCAAGCCCCCCCCCCCAACTTGGTTGCTTCACTACATCGACTATTGCTGCAAATAATGACAGTGTGAATAAATTGTCAATATTTGCTTGAGATAGTGATTGCAGTTCTGGAGAGACTCTTAATTTTTTTGCGTCTCATAGACAGTTAAATTTCATGAGTAAAACAGGATTTTTTAACCTGAAAAATTGGGGGGGGGTTGACCCCCCTACCCCCCCCCCCCCCCCCCCCATGGCTACAGGCCTGGGTGGTGGTGATGATAATACCTTGTATTTCTCTCTAGTTCTTTGCCTGAAAAGTGAATACAATGTGGATGATAAATTGTGATAGTTGCGTGTACACTGTTATTGCTCATCTACATTCTGAAAGCACTTTAACAACCATGGCTCTATCCTAGAGAATCCTTGAATTTGTACTTTGAAAAGTTCTTTAGCATGCTGTGTCTTTATCAACATAGAATACGAAATATACACAAATTATTATAACTAGGCTTGTGCAATTTGTCCAAAAGGCATGCTGTTTTGGGGTCCATTTTCGGCTAACCCTTCATTCTGTTTACTGGAAAGTTACTCGAATTGGGAGGAGTGTTGCCGTTTTCATTCAGCAAAGATTATGCCCATTGGCTACAATGGGAAACATTAAGGGAACAATCCTCAGTCATTTTAAGGCCTATCTGCATGAAACCTACCTAAGTTTTGGACCCCATTTACAATTGAAGACCTGCCAAGTTTCAGAACAATTCACCAATCTACTGATTCTAAAGTATTATTTAAAGTTCTTACCATAACATTATTTAAAATAAGACAAACCACAAGAGAGGGTACTGGAAATTGTAGTCACCGGTTGTGTCCATTCTCAGCCAATCAGAGCATGGACACAACCACGCCTTTTATTGGCTGAGAGACAGAGAGAGAGAAAAACTTCAACTCCCATCATGCTCCAAGAGGAACTCAGAGACTTTTCAATGTCTGCCCTGTGCAAGTGCTGCTGGGAAAGTAAGTTCCCAGCAGGACACTCTCTGGAGGAGGAGCCTAGGGAATTTTTCCAAAAGAAATGGAGAATTCACTGCCAGGGAGGGAGAAAAGATGCAGCAACTAATCCCATCTTCTCCAGGAGCCCTGCAGCAGACCTCTGCCTCAGGTATATTGCAGTCTTAACTCCATCCTTTCCAGTAGCCAATAAATCTGGCTCCCTTGATCCATTTTGCTCAGCTTTTTGGTTTTCTCCTCCCTAATCTGTTTTTGGGGGATTACATGAAATGGACCACTGAATGTTACAAATCTAGTCAAACAGATCTGGGCTCAAGCCTAATTATAATTTAAATTTGATAATTTCATCCCACTTGGCCAACATTTGTGTGGCCTATATTGTCTCCCCTTTGCAAAAAAAAAAAGTACTTCAGATATTCAACTTCGGGAGGGGTACAGGAAAAGAGACAATTCCTGTTTAGGAGTCAGAAAGACTTCTAAAACAATTTAGATGCAAGCAACACAAACACTGATTGCTAAGAGCACTATCTAGTTTGATTGGTATCATTGTGCCTGTACTAGAACTGTAAATTTGTAAGAAAACCATCCCAAAGTTTACAATGCGTTAGCAGCAGCCAGTGAGTCAATTTGCAGTGGAAAAATGTTTTCACCTGCTGCATAGCATACTGAAAGGAGAAGGCTTCACTTTTTGAAATTTAGAGAAGGGAAGTACTACATCTGATATCATGTACTTGACTACTATGCAGTTAAGTGTTCGTATGAACTCAGATTGAATCATATAATCATAGAATAATAGAGCTGGAAGAGATCACATGGGCCCTCAAGTCCAAGATGATGCAGGAATCCATGCAATCCACTTATCTGTTTCTATGGTGGGAACTGTGGTATACCGAACTGCTGACTCTAAGCACCCAAGGATCAAAATTCACCTTATCAAACCATTGCTTTGTGGCAACCACTTGCAACAAATTTTCATGGGATTCTTGAATCATTTTCCCCCTACCAGGAAATAGCAAATCACTTACTGTACAGTGATAGCTTCTGGGAAGCTCTAGTTATCAACATAGCCCTATAATGTGTGATGTAACCATATCTTTTTCTTCATTACTTCTGTAGGCAGCCAAGGGCAGTTTCCACTTACACAGAATGTTACGGTTATTGAAGGTGAAACAGCAACTTTGACCTGTAGGGTTGATCAAAATGATAACACCTCCCTCCAGTGGTCAAATCCAGCTCAACAAACCTTGTACTTTGATGACAAGAAAGGTATGTTTGAATTTTTCGATAATTTAAGCAAAAATAATATACTGACATTTTATAAATATAAAACTACTGAATTATGTGATATATTATATATTGTATTTCCTTGTTTTAAGTACAGCCAGCATATTAGCTGAAACTTTTTATTAAATATGCAACAATAAATGTTTATTTTGAAATAAACAATAAATGTTTATTTTCCCAAACTGGGAAACAAATCATCCAGGATTACCTGGCCGCTCTAAATGAGTTCGAGTCTCCAGGGCCAGATGAACTACACCCAAGAGTATTGAAGGACCTAGCAGAAGTCATTTCGGAACCATTGGCAATCATCTTTGAGAGTTCTTGGAGAACGGGAGAAGTTCCAGCAGATTGGAGGAGGGCCAATGTGGTCCCAATCTTCAAGAAGGGAAAAAAGGATGACCCAAATAATTACCACCCAGTCAGCCTCATGTCGATAGCAGGCAAGATTCTGGAAAAAAATGTTAAGGAAGTGGTCTGCAAACACTTAGAAACAAATGCGGTCATCGCTAATAGTCAACATGGATTTATCAAAAACAAGTCATGCCAGAATAATCTGATTTTTTCCCCAATAGAGTTACAAGCTGGGTAGATGCGGGGAATGCCGTGGATGTAGTGTACCTGGATTTCAGTAAGGCCTTCGACAAGGTCCCTCATGACATTCTGGAAAACAAAGTAGTCCAATGTGGGCTAGGCAAAACTACAGTTAGGTGGATCTGTAATTGGTTAAATGGACGAACCCAGAGGGTGCTCACCAATGCTTCTTCTTCCTGGAAAGAAGTGACAAGTGGGGTGCCGCAGGGTTCCATCCTGGGCCCAGTCCTGTTCAACATGTTTATTAATGACTTAGATGAAGGGTTAGAAGGCATGATATTCAAGTTTACAGACAACACCAAATTGGGAGGTATAGCCAATACTCCAGAGGACAGGAGCAGAATTCAAAACAATCTTGACAGATTAGAGAGATGGGCCAACACTAACAAAATGAAGTTCAACAGCGACAAATGCAAGATACTCCACTTTGGCAGGAAAAACAAAATGCAAAGATACAGAATGGGGGACGCTTGGCTTGAGAGCAGTACGTGTGAAAAAGATCTTGGGGTCCTCGTGGACAACAAGTTAAACATGAGCCAACAATGTGATGTGGTGGCAAACAAAGCCAATGGGATTTTGGCCTGCATCAATAGGAGCATAGTGTCTAGATCGAGGGAAGTAATGCTACCCCTCTATTCTGCTTTGGTTAGACCACACCTGGAATATTGTGTCCAATTCTGGGCACCACAATTGAAGAGAGATGTTGACAATGTGTCCAGAGGAGGGCAATTAAAATGATCAAGGGTCTGGGGAACAAGCCCTATGAGGAACGGCTTAAGGAGCTGGGCATGTTTAGCCTGAAGAAGAGAAGGCTGAGAGGAGATATGATAGCCATGTATAAATATGTGAGAGGAAGTCACAGGGAGGAGGGAGCAAGCTTGTTTTCTGCTTCCCTGGAGACTAGGATGTGGAACAATGGCTTCAAACTACAAGAAAGAAGATTCCATCTGAACATGAGGAAGAACTTCCTGACTGTGAGAGCTGTTCAGCAGTGGAACTCTCTGCCCTGGAGTGTGGTGGAGGCTCCTTCTTTGGAAGCTTTTAAACAGAGGATAGATGGCCATCTGCTAGGGGTGCTTTGAATGCAATATTCCTGCTTCTTGGCATGGGGTTGGACTGGATGGCCCATGAGGTCTCTTCCAACTCTATGATTCTATGAAAGCCATATATCTTGCTTTATTTTTCTCATATATCACACTTTGGGAGTTGTTTGTTTTTGTTTTAATTTGCTTATTGCTCTTTATTTTGGGACCTCATCAGAAAGCTCTGGTGAAGCAACTCGGGCTTTTGGGAGGAAAGAGGGAGCAGCAGGGTGAATCCATCACCCCATGCAAACTCCCTCTGGAGACACTTTCCCCATAATATGTGGGGAGGATCCTTTCAGGATTTTGGAAATGTTGGTCTTTGAGTGTGAATAACAAAATGAGTGTATATATTTGTTTATTTACTATTGCATTTAATTCCTTGAGTATATGTCATTCATTTGTGTGATTTCACCTATACTATTAAATTTAGAACTTATTATTTATTATATTCAAATATAGTAAATAAATAAATAAATAAATAATATTTATGCACTTTATATGGTTACTGTAAGAATTACAGCAAGATAATCAATGTGAATCCTCTTAACATATAATACATGCATAATGTGTGATTGGAACAGTTGTAAAATGCTAATATTTTGGTGAACTATATCTCCTCTATTTTTGAGGGGTTATGATCTCTTCAGGCTTACTAAGCAAATGTAAAAGCAACAATGGGGTTATGGGTAGTTAAAATTTCAAATACTTTGGGTACATCCATCTAGTCAGAAGCTTAAATGCTCTTCTCTTTACATGTGAAACTTTGGTGGCAATAGGAGGTTTTTCTATACCCTGATGGGGGAAATGAGGAGAAGCAAACTATTTCTCAGGGTGCACCTGCATTGTAGAATTAAGGCAGTTTGACACCACTCTAATTCAATGCTGTGAAATCATAGGAGTTGTGGTTTTGTGAGATCTTTACTCTTCTTTGTCAAAGAGTGCTGTTGCCTCACCAAAAACACATCCTAGGATTATGTAGCATAGAGCTGTAACAGCTGAAGTGGTGTCAAACTGCATTACTTCTACAATATAGACACATGCTTGGTGTAAATACTAAAATTATTTATGCTAAGCAAACCCACCACTTTTGTGAATCTCTACCCAAGACGTGTCTGATGTGTGCGTGTGGCAGAGGAAGGGAGGCAGCTTCTTCTTTTAAGGAGGGAACTGAGGAAACATCCAAAGGATGTGTATTGGCTCCAATAATTTGCAACAAGATAGCCAGAATGGCTTCCTTCGAAATTCTTGAAGCATAGTGACCAGGAAAAGTGGCTGTAAAATGTGTCATTGGGAATCATAGAGCTGGAAGAGACCTCATGGGCCATCCAGTCCAACCCCCTGCCAAGAAGCAGGAAAATCACATCCAAAGCACCCATGGCAGATGGCTATCTCGCCTCTGTTTAAAAGTCACCAAAGAAGGAGCCTCCATCACACTCCAGGGCAGAGAGTTCCACTGCTGAACAGCTCTCACAATTAGGATGTTCTTCCTAATGTTCAGGTGGAATCTCCTTTCCTGTAATTTGAAGCCATTGCTCCATTGTGTCCTAGTCTCCAGGGGATCAGAAAACAAGCTTGCTCCCTCCTCCCTTAACTTCCCCTCACATGACAATCATGTCTCCTCTCAGCCTTCCCTTCTGCAGACTAAACATGCCCAGCTCTTTAAGCTGCTCCTCATAGGGCTTGTTCTCCAGACCCTTTATCATTTTAGTCGCCCTCCTATTGACACACTCCAGCCTGTCAACATCTCCCTTAAATTGCGGTGCCCAGATTTGGACACAGTATGCCAGGTGTGGTCTGACTAAGGCAGAGTAGAGAGGTAGCATGACTTCCATGGATCTAGACAACATACTGCCATTTATGCAGGCCAAAATCCCATTGGCTTTTTTAGCCGCCACATCACATTGTCGGCTCATGTTTAACTTCTTGTCCATGAGGATTTCAAGATCTTTTCACACATACTGCTATCGAGCCAGACGTCCCCCATTCTGTATGTTTCCATTTCATTTTTTCTGTCTAAGTGGATTATCTTTCATTTGTCCCTGATGAACTTCATTTGGTTAGTTTTGGCCCATCTCTCTTATCTGTTAAGATCATTTTGAACTCTGCTCCTCTCTTGTGGAGTATTGGCTATCCCTCCCAATTTGGTGTTGTCTGCAAACTTGATGATAATGCCTTCTAACCCTTCAACTAAGTCATTACTAAAGATGTTGAACAGGACCGGGCCCAAGGTGGAACCCTGAAGCACTCCACTTGTCACTTCTTTCCAAGATGAAAAGGAAACATTTGTGAGCACCACTGGGTTCATTCACTTAACCAATTACAGATCCACCTAACTGTATTTTTGCCTAGCTCACATTTGACTATTTTATTTGCCAGGAGGTCATGGGGGACCTTGTCGAAGGCCTAACTGATATCCAGATACGCTGCATCGATGGTGTTCCCTTCATCTTCCCAGCTCGTCACAGTTTTGAAAAAAAAAAGAGATTGGATTAGTCTGGCATGACTTGTTTTTAATATTAGTGATGACCGCATTCATTTCTAAATGTTTGCAGAACTCTTCCTTAATGATCTTTTCCAGAATCTTGCCTGGTATCTATGGGAGACTGATTGGATGGTATTTGTTTGGGATAGCCTTTTTTTTCCTCTTCTAGAATATAGGGACCACATTTGCTCTCCTCCAATCTGCTGGGACTTGTCCCATTCTTCAAGAACTCTGAAATATGATTGCCAGTGGTTTTGAAATGACTTCCGCTAGTTCCTTCGATACTCTTGGATGTAGTTGATCTGGCCATGGGGAGTTTATTTCGTTTAGAGCGGCCACGTATTCCTTGATGAGTTGTTTCCCTATATGAGGTTGGATTTCCCCTAATCCTTCATGCACTCCATGTTGCCAAGATTGAGGATGGCTTCCTTTTTGTGAGAAGATTTTTTTTAAAACTGAAAGGAATAATAATCCTTTCAATCCTATGATTAAAACACATTGCAATCCCTTAATCTACCCTCACAATACAGGTATTTTTCAATTAACGAAGTAGCTGTGGTCTTGGGTAGTACTTCTTTAACTCAAAATTTAGTACCAAAGGTAGAAATAAAATGGAAAGAACAGAGGCATCACAAAAGCAACACACAGCATGTTTCAACAAACATTTTTTTTTCTAAACTAACAGTATACACATGTGAAACAGAACAACCAAGTCAAGTAAGCCTGAGCAAAAAGACTTTGAATATCCCAGAGATCTTTTAAAGGCTACTTCTAAAATACATCAGAGATTACTTTTTCTTTCACCAGCCTCCACTTTTTTATGA